CTGCAACCTGCGTGAAGATTGAAGACTGTGCACGAGCATCACCAAAGTCTCCCAGCAGTGCTAGGACAACGTTGTGTCCCTTCCCCACAAAGGTAACCCCTTTTTAACATGATGTCTCTTGCCTAACCCTTATGGAACAGCTTGGTGAGGTATGAGCTACTAGTGTTGCTATGTGGGGCAGGACTGGAAGTACTGTCAGGAAAAGCTCTACTCTTTAATTTAATTTCCCCTATTGGTTTTGATGGAGGAATGACAAAAGCTGCCAGTGGGAACTGGAAGTGACGCTGCCGCATGCTGATTTCAGTTCTCTGGAGGTGCTGATGAAGCTTTTGATTCAGAGCTCTGACCTTTCCTGCTCTTAATAGGTCATGTAGTACTTCCATACAGTTTACAGTATTTACTACAAGAGAAGTGTCTAGCCTACCCAGATCTTCCTGAACTCAGAAGTACATGACAGTGAATGGCTAATAAATTAGACATGGAATCCCAAAACCTTTTGCTTGTAATTCTCCCTCAAGATTCCCAACATTAAAAAAGTCTTGACAGTTTTGTCTGAAGAGAGACTGTGGAAGAGTTTCAGATTAATTTACTCATCTAGCACGTTTTCAGGAAAGAATTAGTTTGATGTCTATAAGATATTTTAAGATAATTAGATTACCAATGACAACTTGGACAAAGTAAGGAAGTTTGACTTCTGTCCCTTCATCCAAACATTTTCACTGTGATATATTCATAAATAAATGAAGATAAAAGGAAGTAAATACTGTATTCTGTGGCTCAAGACATATCTCTGCCTGGGCCGGGATTTGAAAAACCACACTGCAGACCATCACAGTAATCTACAGATTATTGCCCTTAACTACCTTTCAAAATTATTCTTTTTCTTCGCAATGCTTTCAAGTCCACAACTGTTGCAGAAAATTACAATGATAATTTATACTGTGAATAGTTAGCTGATGTTTAGGAGTCAGGAAAGTGGCCTGTTCACTTGAAGGCCAGAATATTATCTGTGACCTTTAATATTCTGCTTAGTAACGAGCAGATCCTACAAAATACTGACCAGGACCTGTAGGAAGCAGTCACCTCTCACCTGGGACCAAAGTAAACTCATCACTTCGCAGGACCAAGTCTAGCAATGATCTGATCCTGTACATCAAAAGCCTATTGAGTTTTGTCTGCAAGGATTTGAGAATCAGTTTCAATGACAGTACCTTTGAATGATCAACAATTTTCTGCACCATATGTCTTTATAAATACATCCTTGCATTAAACTAGGCTAGAAAACAGTTTATTTTTAAATAAAAAATACTAAATAAAGCAGTTATAGCTTGAAGGAAAATATACAGGAGATTGTTTATAGGTAGAGCTGAGAGATAACATAAGATTTCTTTTTAGAAGGGATACTTTATGGATCTCATTCTGCATCATTAAGTTTTCCGGAATGCTGAATAGAGCATGATGGATTGGTTTTAAGTTGTTGCTAGTATTTAATTTTGGTTCAGTTCAAGGGGCCATGTCAGAAGAAAGAATCAAAGATGGAAAAAAAACAGCCAACCAAACAAAAATCTGTGAACTGGGTAAATCACCAATTAAAAAAAAAGAAGAAGAAAAAGTATAAGAAGGTCCCAACACCTTTCACCAGTGGCTGAAAACATCAGATTAAATTCCACTGTTCCTGAGGCATATTGCTTGATGTGACTAGAATATATTTGTTAAACAGAGAACAGTTTTTGTTTCAAAAAATTATTTCCTATCATCTATGGATTACAGTTTGGGTTTGTTTAAAATAAATGAATAAAACATACCTATCAAGAAATATATTTTAATGATGATCATTTTGTGGTTGTTTTTCTTTAAAAGAAGTCAATTGCTTGAAAAGTGTAGGTTACACATAACTGTAGGGGAACTAAAGCTTATATCTTCAGTGTATGTTAAATTAGACCTTTACAAAAAATAACAACTATATATTATTCTTTTCTACTGTTTTTTTAATAAGAAAAAAGATATAAATATTTGGTTTACAAAAAGAAAAGAAGAAGACATTTGTATACCTCTGGAGCAAGTTCCAAATCTTTTGGTTTCTTAAGGAAATAAATAAATAGCATTGTCAGAAAGACTCCTAAAAAGACTGCCCAAGAGGGAGCGAAGGAAACACCTAAAGACATCATATTACCATGTGCTGAGGTAATCAACTACAATTTGGGAAATGTCAAACAGTGGTATTCATCTACCCAAAGATTTTGCTGATCAAGTCCTTAACTGCCATTTACAATCACTAACAAAAACATGGACTATAGCTGTGGATATAAACAAGAGACAAATTAGTACTGGGAAGCTGGGTTTAATAATCCCCTAAAAGAGTCCATCTGTTTATAAAGACCCCTTTTTCCTTGATCTCTGACATGCATTCCTAATGTAGACACAGCTGGATTTTTTTATTTTTTTTTTTTTTCATTTTTGAAACACCCTGCTACTATAAACTCTACTTATAGTATATCTGGTCTGAGTGTTTGTCTCAAGTTTCAGTTATTATGTAAGCACTGAGGGGCAATAAAATGTCACACAAGTTCAGCCTGCTTTAGAGTAAGTATCAAAACATGAGACACATAAATGCAATCCCTTTAGTATTGATGTTCAATACTACTAGAGGTACCACTTCGTATTTTTCTGATTCTTGCAAATATTTATCATATTATCACTGGAATAGCTGGAACAGGTACAAAGCTCTTTCAAAGTTCTGAATTCATGTCTGGACTGGAGTTTGTTTTTCTTATTTTCCTGTTTAAAACACTAGGAAATCACATTGTCTGTAATGGTTATGAGATTGATAATCTGACAAACTAGGTGATTTGCAAGTATAAAACACCAAAACAATGTATAATCTGTGTTTCCAATCCACTGGTGAAGAAAAAGGGAAAAAAAAAAAAACATTGACTATACACTTCTCACAGATAGAGGTCACTAATAGACTAGATTTGAATCTGTCTGCTAAGAGGCTGAAAGTTACATTAAAGTATCCTACACAAAAATGAACTCGTTTTGAGATTAAAGAGGTAGCAGAAATGATTAAGAAATAAAGCCCTCACCTTCCTGGAAACAATATTATCTTAAGTGTGCCTTCTTTCTAGTTCTTTAAGTGGAAATGCAGTACAGGAAAAGCCTGATAGTGGTACTTATTTTCTTCACTTGGTAAAACTATGTCTTCTCTCCTTCTTTGCTGTGGGAAGGGTTGGGAAGTCAGCCCTAATGACATCCTACATTTTAGATACTGCTATTTTAAGAGTTAAATGCAAGCACATTCTTGATTCTTGAAGGAAAGCATACCCTATGTAATGCAGATTCCAACTGGGAGGGTGTAGGGTTGCGTAAAGGAGATATGTCTACATCCTAAATCAAACTATCCAGCAGGTCAGGATATAAATGTGACTTGTAATAGTGGCTCAGATTAGATCCAGACTTCTCAAAAGCAAACACAGACAACATCACCTTATACAAAATATAGAGTGTATACGTATGTGAGGAGCAACTCTTAAGAACGCTGCGTGCATTCCAGCACGACTTCTTGCTAAAACCTTGGACTTTGAAAGACACTGATGACTGTTCTAGTCACAGGTAGTTTTACAGACGCCGTATTTACACAGTGCTCTGACTTATTTCACCTACAGTACTCCAGGCCTGCACTCAACAGCCTTGTTACTGTATCAGTATAGAGAATGACCATTTAAATAGCAGGCCTCTTGAAATTTCTCACATCATTTTCAGAAACAAGATTAACACTTAACATCACTTTTATCATGCAGAAATGGTGCCTTTAAAATTACACCTGTTATATCTTTTTAATTATGCAAAGTTTATGTCTCAAAGATTTCATATATTGACTCTTTAAAGGAAGAAAGGAAAGAAAAGTGGATAGAGATGTTTTAGATGTTTTGAAAAAATGCCAGGATGGATTTTTCTCCTCCCAAAAATACACATATCTGAAACCAATTCACTAGTTTCCTCTAAAAATACAAATTTATAAAACTGTTCTGGGTGAAAGACCGTGTCAATGAATGAAGCAAGGAATTAAGTCCATGGAAATTTGTGGGGGTTTTTGTAGGGTTATTTTGGTTTTTTAAACCCAAGCAGTGATCAATCTCAGCCTCTAAAGTGGTTTAATTTCCCTGCAAGCACTGTAAAGTTAGATGCAGCAAATAAACCTCTCTTTAACACACATCGTGTCTTTAAGAGAGAGAGACAGAAGTAAGGGGGAGAGAGAGGGAGAGGTCTGACTTGCTTTAGTATCTTTTCCTGCTCCTCATGCAAGGAACCTCTCCCTTTCTATTTAGCTGAGCTCTGCATTGCAAAAAGTAGCATATGAAGAAATCTAATCAGTACCTTCCATACACAGTACAGGAATTTACAAGGATTTGTGCCTTGGATTTATTAGCTTATTGTAAGCCTTAAAACAGATTTCCTCCATTAAAATTAATTAAAAGCTCCTGTTGACTGATTCCCACTCCAACAAGAAGGTGGAGAGTATTATTCTCCTACTTTGCTGATTGTTTATTTATCTTTTATGGGGTATTATATCATGTTCAAGAGAGGTCTTTTCAGCTGCTTGACTTCTTTTTGCGACCTGCTATTTTTTGCTCATACACCATCCCCACCCACCCTCTCACACACGCACCCCTTCAATCCCCGCAGTATTTGTCCTTATTTTGTCAGATCACCGTCTAACTCCTCAGGTCTCTGAGTGGCTCCTTTGTATTCCGAAGTCCCGATCCGATTCTCTTAACCTCGCCCCCACCCACTCACCGCCAGCCCCGCTCCGAAGACTGCTGTTGGGGATCTGATGGATCCTCCCGCCGGGCGCAGCTCCCGACTCTCCACGTAGGTTCCTTAATACTTGGCAACGCAGAGCTGAGCCGACCGCCTCTTCCAAGCAACGCTCACCTCTAAAGATCCCGTTTCTCCGAACCACCTCCCAGATAGTACTGCTGGTGGTGTTCACACAGGCGCCCTGCCGGTCCCCCTGCCGCAGGGGTAGTGCTCGGCTCTGCCCTCCCCACGGGGTGGGGGCCAGGCTCGGCACCCTCCCGCTCGCCACTGAAATGCGACCGGGAACGCGGGCACCCGGGACCCGGCTGCAGCTGCCAGCTCCGCGTCCCGCTCCTGAGCCACACGCTGGCGTAAAATGTCCCGGGGACCCTCCTAGCACTTGCCGCCGGCCATTCATAAATCCATGCGTGTGCGTGCCCGGCGCCGCGGATATGGGGCTCTAACGAGGCGGAGGCGATATTTCTGACACAAACTGATCCTGGCTCCTCAACTTTGCCATCTCGGAGAAGGCAAAGGGCACCGCGGCTTAAAATCGCCCGGGGCTAGAATTACCAGGAAGGAAAAGAGAGAGAAATGAAACCCCAACTGTACCTGGCGGCATCTGGGAATCCCTCGCCGGCACCGATCGTAATCCCCCTCTGCGCCTCTGGCCCCCCACACCAAAACTTTGCCGCCGCCGCTCCTCGGTGGTGGCCTTCGCCGCCCTCCGCCCGGTGCCGCTCCCGGCCGGCCCCGTGGGCCCGTGCCCCACCGGCAGCCGCCGCTTCGAGCGACCCCCGCGCCTCCCGCGCCTTCCTCCGCCCTTACGAGGCGGCAGCATCGTCCTCCCCCCTGATCCGCCACCTCCTCCTCCGGCGCGCAGCCCACGGCTCTGGCATCCCCAACGCACTTTCTCTCCTCGACTCGCTCTCTCTTCCCCCTGCCGTTCCGCCTTCTCCGGTAAAAAAAATAAACCAGAAGGGACCGCGGCTACGCTTGGTCTTTGGGTTTCTTTCTTTCCTTTTTTTTTTTTTTTTCTGTCCTCTGGAAATGATGAAAGGATCACATGAGGAGCAGGCACGGCGACCCAGGACCCTCAGAAGTCGGAGAAGGCATCGGGCACATATATGTGAGTATGTGTGTATGTATGTGTCTGGCTCTCTCCAAGTCCTGAGCCTGCCTCCAGCCGGGATTGCAGGCTGATCTTAGCAGTAATGATGCCTCAGATCTCACTATTCCCTGCTAATGTAAGTCGTGCCTTTTTTTCCTCCCTGCCTGACACCCCAGGGAGATGTTTACAGTAATGAATTCAGTTGATAGCCATCTCTCTCTCTCTCCTGGAGTCCCTCCCACATTTCTAGTTTAAAGAATGCTTGGAAGGCAGGACTGCAACCTAAAGCTTTCCAAGAGGCGAAGTCAGGCTAGATTTTCTCTTTTTCTTCCTTATTCCCCCCCTCTTGTCCCCCCGCCCGCTTTTAACCCCTTGCTTGCTGAGGACAGTTTAGCGAGCTCCGTCCCTTTGGACTCGCCCTCCGCCTCTGCTTTCAGTGAGGGCAACCAAGCGGGAGGCTCTGCCCGAGGGTGTGTGTGGGCTGCGCAGACCCCCGACCCCCGCCCCGCCTCAGCGCCAGGTCGGCGCTGCGGGAGAGGGCGGTGCGGGTATCGCCGCCCTTCGCGGTGGAACTGCCCTGGCACCGCCGCTCCGGGGACTCTCAGGGTGTATCGGAAGGGAAACCGGGAAGTGAGCTGAAAAACTCCCCGAGCTGCGGTCCCGGGAGATGCCCTCGCTGGCAGTAATTACAGCCGTGCTCTCCACCAACATGGCGATATTTCATGTGCAGCCGCCGACAAGCCCGCCTCCCCCACCCTCTTCTTTCCCTCTCCTTCCTCCCTCCCTTGCGAACTTTTAGGTAGGTAGTAGCAGTGCGCAACAAATGTAACACAAAAGAATCTCCAACCCTCAGGAAAGAGACGGACCTCTTCTAGTATTCTGTTTGATTTCCATCATCAGTCAGAAAGACTTTAAAACCGCTGGAGAAACCGCCTTTTGCCCTAAAGCGGTAACAACTCACCCACCACCTCCACCTCCCCCCCGCCCATGTCTCCAACGCACATTCACTGTGTGTCCGTATGAGTGTGTGTGTGTTAGTGCATCCCGGGCTGTCTGCGCCTGTTTCGGGGTAACCCTTCCCCCGCCGCCCAGCTCCCTAATAGGCTACTGCCGTGTCCTGACAAGTCCACGTAAAGGCAAGACTATTTAATACCGAGGACCATTTGAGCGATAGAATACTTGAGCGTCAAGATAGGACGTGGAATGTGCGAAGAGAATTTGCCTCAAACTCCTCCATTAGTAAAAAACATTCACAATACGGCTTTTGCTGCGAGTTACTTTAAGAGACGGGCCGGGGAGGGATGAACGAGAGGGACCTGATCAATGCCATGTGTCGAGGAAATAGAAATGGCAACCGAAATGCCTCGGGGTTTGCTTCCCTCTCACCCCTGGCTGCTCAGTGGCTTGTATTTGCTCAGCCATACCTCAAAAGCTGAATCACTCGCCATTAGCTACGCGCCTCCTTCACCCTTCGCTTGGGGGGGCTAAACTACTCACGACTTCAAAGGCTCAATAAAGCCGTACCGAGGAGCCAGCCGCGGAACCCCGGCGAGGGTCAGGCCGGCGCAGCTCCTGCCCCGCCGCACCCGCCCTGGCTTCCTCCCCCTGCCCTCCAAAGGGGGCTTCGGAGTGCCCCCGCCTATGGATAGCCCGGAGCCAAACTGAGCCGCGCCGCGCTGCCTGCCCGCTCGGAAAAGGAGTTGCGTCCTCACCTACGCGGAGTGATGGCGGGGGGCGGGAAGGGGGCGGGGGGGGCAGTGGACGTGGAAGAAGGAGCGCAGGTAGCCCGACGTTCCTCAGGAAACTCAGCGAGTGGAAAGGAGTTGAGGACAAGAGCCTGCTCCCCTCCTGGGGGCCGGGGTCTGTTCTGCGCCCCCGGGATGGAGGGGAGGCAGCCGGGGGCCCTCCGCGGGTCTTAACCGACAGGAAGAAGCAGGTTTGGCACGGCTCAGACCCGCGGGGAGAGCCTGCATCCCTGGCTTGGAGCAGGGGCTGCCCTGTAGTCGAGTCTGCCTGTAACTCTCAGCAGGTTCCGAGAGATGAAAGGACCAGGAACCCCGTAGAGTCCAAAGGCAAATGAGTACCCTTTTCCAAAGACTGTTCTAGGGGGTTTTTTTACTTTTAAAAATCTGTTCTTTTTCTTTTTATCTGTCTTTCTTTCTTTCTTTAAGCCTCTGCATACTTTTCAGAGCACTTATTTGAGCATGATTTATATTTCCTTCCTGAAGCTGATGGACAACCAGTGCATTTTCTAGTGAAAAACCCCCACTTTCTTATCCTCAGTCCACCATCCCTCCGTTCTCCGTGCTCCCGGTATTTATAAACCTGTCACCAACATATAAGGCAGAGCAGACCATTGTCGATTGCAGGTATTTCTGCTCTCTGTGTCCCCAGTCACGGAAGAAAGTGGGAATGTTAAAAAGTTCTGCAAGGCTGCAGAAAGTTTCCCTGCCCTACAGTCTCAGAGGGATTAAACAGAATTATTCCTGTTCCTCTCCCTGCCTCTGGACCCTCAGCCAGTCCACCCCTCAAGTCAGTGGATGATACACAGGTCATTTTTTCGTCAACTCAAGATCATGTCAATCCAGAAAATTACTTAATCGGGCATTACCTGCTCCTGTGGAGATGGGTCCTCCTTGGTAGGTCACCCAAAACCCACCGGGTCCGGCAGGTTGAAAGGGGAGAAAGTGACAGAACAGCTGGGCTCCGGCATGGTACTGTTTCTAAGGTTCACCACCGAGGTCTCTGTTTTCCATAGCTGTCACTGATCACCATCACCGAAGGTTTCTCTCAAAGAAAGGAGGAAGAAAATTTTCTTCCCAAGCTGCTTTCCAGCCGGTCATTTGACCCTGACACCCACCGATGACACTGAAGAACACCCCGCTGAAGAGGCTAAACGCCTCGTAATTTCCTCTTTTCTTCCCCCGACGGCCCCGGCGCACCGCCGCAGACCGATCTTATCGCCGTGCGATCATTATTCACCGGTGACAACCACAGATGCAGCGCTCGTAAGTGAGGGTGACAGATTTCAAACGCCGGGCTGCAGCGTACTCAGCCTCAAACATATTCTTCCTCAAACTTTGCCTAGCAAGCAATCAGCGGCTTAACCCTTTGCAGCCCTTTCTGTCGTCCGGGCACCGAGCCCTCAGCACGGGGGGGAGTGCTGGTTTAAAGAGAATAACAGGATAACACGGCTGCTTGGCTTGGGACTCTTTATTATGTGCCATTTTCTATTCCTGGTTATTTTCACTTGAAACAAATCAGAACCGCCAGCCCTGGGAAGCAGATGGGGGGCTGGATACTTCTCTGTGATTAGGGGCTGGAAACATCCTCTCCACAAAGCAGATCGCTGGGGATTCGCCTGCGGTCCCTCTTTGTCACCGAGTCTAGTATGCAAATTGTCATATTCATGGCATGAATCCCTCTCATATGTGCATATACAGAGCTTCTGCACTTTCCTCAACGTCTTGTGACAAAAAGTACAGTTCCAAAAGTGCTATTTCACCCAGACCTCCAGATTCAGCTCTTTTACAGGTTATTAACTACAACGGAGACAGGAGCGAGTGAGAACCGTATTTCCATGAGAGAAAGAAAAAAAAAAGTTTTTTTCATACATGCACTTTGTAGTCAAAGGAAATATTTACCATCACCAAACTCCAGCATGTCAGAACATGTTTCCTCCAAAGCGCAATAAAGCCTTAAAAATGAGAGAAAAGCATGTGCAATTCAAAGATGAAATGAAGTGCATTAAAGCTTTTTTAAGTCAGTACCACTTGCTCAGAGCCTGATGTCAAGACAATGAAGTAGCACTTGTAACACAAAGATGTAGAGAAGGAAACAAAATTAGTAAACTCCATTGGTTTTCTAATATTAATTTATATATATTTCCAGTGCTTTATGATGTGTCTGTCACCTTCTCTGCCCCCCCCCCCCCCCCCCCCAAAAAAAAAAAAGGGGACACGACCTCTAACTGCAGCTGAACGCCACCGAGAGCCCATTCGTGGGCTGGGCTGCCGCGAGTTCCTTCCAGAACCCCAGTGGTCACATAGCAGGAAGGACACAGAGGCAAGTAGGTGCGTATGAATGGGAATTTGAGTGCTTTCTTCATCAAATATGTAAGATAAAGCTGGACACGGGAGGAGAAGAATCCTACAATAAGCAAAAAGGACAGAAAAAAAAGTTATTCTCCTCCCAGCCACATTCCTAAGCTCCGATTTTAAGCACAGCAGGCAAATAAATTTTCTTTGAAGAATAGCTCCCAGCCCCTCTCAAAAAAAAAAACAAACAAACAAAAAAAACCAAAAAAACAAACAAAAACCCCCCCCGACCATTTAGACATCGCATGTATCCTTGTCCTGATTGTAAGAGCGTGTGACGCGAGTGGGGAGCGCGACTAGCCCTGGCCGAGTGTGGTTCCGCGCTGAGAGAAGAAGCGCTGCCGCAGGTGCGCAGCGGGAGCTCCGCGGTCGCGGAGCGGGGCCGCCTGCACGTCCCACGGCGCGGCCAAGGTGGCAGCAGAGCACAGCGGTAGGATGCTCGGCGGCCGGCCGGGGGGGGGAAACTTCCCCCATCCTCTCCTTCCAGCACTCTCTATTTAAACTGATGCACACTCCTTACAAACGCTCCCCCACCCCCCGTTAATCTTGGTTATAGTCTGATTACTTCGACTTCAAACAATTTGACAGTCCCCCCCCGCCATTACCACACTATGAATGTGTCAGGCGTGTATTTATTTGCTAGCAAACTGCTTTGCGTAGTAAAAAGGCTGTAAACCGAGAGTATAGAAATATACTCTCTGTAAATTACCTGTGATCATACAAGATGGCCAGCCTGGAGTGATGGTCCGCTGATCTGTAGTATGACCTCACTTATTTTAAAGAGAATGTGAAATGGGATAACATTAAAATATATTATAAAAATGGAAGTGTCTTTTCATATTTTTTTTCCTCCCAGCTATATTATTAGAATGATTTCTGCAGCTTGCAAGAGAGAGGGTAAAAGGAGATGGAAATAATTCTGTAAGTGGAAGGCTGGTCTAAGTCATACTGAATAATCTCAATTTTTGTCAGTAATGTAAAATTTTACTTCAGGCCTTAAGTTCATGCAGCTGACAGAAGGAAAAAAGTCACTATGGACATTCTTCATCAAATTTTGTGAAATGACCTTCTTAAAAAAAGATTTTGAGGAAGGAAGGGGAAGGGGAAGGGAAGGGGAAAGGGAAAGGGGAAGAGAAAGAAGAAAAGGAATGAAAAGGGACTGAAAGGGAAGGGGAAGGGAGAGGGGAAGGGAGGGAAGGGGAGAGGAGGGGAGGGCAGGAGAGGGAAGGGAAGGAAAAAGGAAA